AAAGATGCATTATGTAAAGGTACAATTCCCAATGAGAAATGTAATTGTGTTGTATACCTACAATGTACTAATAAAAGAATTTAATACAAAAAAAAATTATTTCCAGGGCTGGGGATGTAGCTCAGTGGTGGCACCACTTGCCTTGCAGGCGCAAGGTCCCAAGTTCTATCCCTGGTGCCAAAAAGAAAAAAGAAAAAACGGTTATTAAAAATCATTTTCATTTAACTAGCTACAGGCCCCTTCCCTTGGGGCAGTGGATGTTAAGGGACAGCCTGGCCAGGAGGGTGATGAGCACAGGGTGAGGACGAATCCCAGCTCCCAGCGGCTGTCCCTTCTTTCTTTCCTTAGCCCCTGGAGGTAAAGTCACTTAGGTTTAAGGGTACAGACAGCCTGCATTGCTAATGATTGTCATCTGCATTTCAGCTGAAGAAACCAAGACTCAGAGGAAGTGATTTGCCTGAGGTCACACAGTGAGTGAGTTCTGAAGCCTGGATATGAATTTGGGAGAGGGGCGGTTTAGAAAGATTTGCATTACGCAGGCCACCCAATTTCCCCCAGCTCCCAGTGAGGAGGAACAGTGCCTCCCACAGGCAGCTTCTTTAAGACTCACAGTGTCAATTCAATGTCAAATTCAAGTGAGATATTTATAGAAAACCACTCCTTATGGAAAGACATCTGGATCCGACCACAGTCCAGCTGCACATTGGTGATGTTGATGCTACAAGGGAAAGAGCAGAGGCCCTGAAGTGTGGCTGACCTCAGGCCTGGCTAGGCCTTGTGGGGCAGAACAAGGCTGGCTGGACTGCAAAGCAGGGCTGGTGATGGGGTTTGGAATCAGATCCACTCACAAGTGCCATGGGCAGGCACGGGAGCCCTGGACCGCCAGCTGTCCCAGAATGCCCCAAACAGTTGCTCACAACTCCTGCCAGCTCCAGACCCTGCTCTCAGGCTGAGCCTCCCTCTTCAGTAGCTAGGTCCACCAATTGCCTGGGAGCCAAACCCTGGGAGCTTTCACTTCTCTCCCTCCCTTGCCCCCACATTGTTCCCGTCAGCAAACTGTGTGGCTCCACTTGTAAAGTGTGTCCTGAGTCTGGCCCTTCTGTTGCTTCCACTTGGTTTGACCACCTGACCTCTCCCTGGAGATGCTGCCATTCCTTTCTGGCCCCCACCTACTGTGCTTGTGGTTTCTCTGCAGACTGTTTTCCACAAGGCAGCCTGAGAGTCCCTTGCACTTCCCTTCCCCTCACCATTCTCCACTGGTTTCTTGCCGCTCTTGGAATCAAATCTAAATTCCCCACTCGTCTTTGTACCCTCATCTCTTACTACTCTCCCCCTTGTCTGCCCAGACACATGGGATTCTTTCTGTCCTTTGAACACCCTCTTTCCTACCTCAGCGCCTTGCACCTTCTGCCCCTTCTCCTCAACCTACTCTCCCCGTGTCCTTCATGTCACTTTTTCTCTCCTCTTCATTCAAGTTTCTCAAGGGCCACCATTCCCCTCTCTCACACCCCTTACCTAGCTAGATGGATCTTCTTATCATGACCTCAGGTGAAGGTCATTTGAAATTAGTTATTTACCTTCTGTGGCCTATCTCACTAACTAGGATGCAAGTTACTCTCAAATGTAGTAACTGTATGTCTTATTCATAGCTGTTTTCCCAGTCCACAGCCCAAGGCCTGATATGCAGTAGATGCTCACTGAATGACTGTAACATTTGTTAGAGGAATGAGTGAAGGGGGGTGATTGTGGCCACACACATCATAGGAAAGCCCTACTGGTGACTGGTGGTCTTCACCAAATTGGTGAGAAGGAGGGACTTGAGCTAGAGGGAAGAGAGCCTGGGGGGCAGAGCAGATGGAACAGCAGTGTTGCCAGTGAGTAGCCGGAGTCAGTGGATCAGAAGAACCTGCGCCAGTCTGAGGGAATAAATATGAGCAGGACAGCACGGCTCCTGCAGGTGAATTCTAGCCACCACAGCTACCATATCCACAATGCATGCCTGAGAAGTTGTATACATGATTCTAAAATCTCCTAGCATCTCTTGGAGGCAGGGACAGCTATCATGACTGTTTTACTGATGAGGACTCAAGGCTTCAGCTCAGTGCACTCATGTGCTTGGCCCAGAGTCCCACGGTTATCAAGCAACAGAATGCGGACTCAAATGCCTGATTGTGGTCCTGACCTTGTTTGATACGCAGGTGTTTATTGAGGCTGTGCCCTGTGTTCCCATTCTGTAGATGAGTCAAAAACTAATGAGCAGCTTCCCCAAGGCTAGTAGCAGAGCTAGGATTTAAATGCAGACATGTTTACTTCTGCACCATCACTGTTAATTACCCTGTTCTGCTACCTACCCAAATGGTCCCTCATACTGAGTCCCCATTTGTCCTCATCCTGGGTCTTTTGCTTTCTTTTCTCTCTCTTCCCTCTCTACAGGTCTTGCACCACCATCCTCCCAGCTCTGCCTTCTGATCCAGAGACCCATAATGGAGCCAGGGCCAGGGATGGGCTCAGGGCCTCACCTGATCTCTTGCTGCTGCTGCTGCTGGAGTTTCATGCCACCAATCAGCCAGCCCACCATCCCAGGGACCATCTGCCTTGAATCATTCAGACTGTCCAGGAAGTGGATGCTCTGGATTTGGTCCTCTGCATTGTGGTTCATGAGGCCTTGCACAATAACTGGAAAGGTACAAGGGGCCAGTGATACCATACAGTGTTGTGGAAAACACGGGGTGTGTGTGTGTGTGTGTGTGTGTGAAGTTGGGAAGCCTGTGGTGCTGGCAGGTGCACCCTCTTCCTGCTGAGAGATCGCCCAAGTCTCATTCCCCTGCTGGGAGCTACATTCTTCAGCTGTAATCATGTTTTGCAAGACTGATAGGTGAAACAAAACCAAATGCTGTAGAGAGCCTGGCAGGCAACAGCAGTGCAAAAAGCTATTCTGGGCGAGTTCTTCCTGTACTCTTTCTCTGCGTCTAGAGCCCATAGCTAATACACAAGATAGAGACCACAATAAATGTTGGTTGAAGACAAAAATAGAAAAAAATAGGTGAATACAGACAGAGTAAGTGCAAATCATCCCATGCTTGAATAAATTGCAGGAACCAAGTCAGCTTCTAGCAGAAAAGAATGAACTCCCAAAGGAAGGGAACTTTCAAAGCTATAAATATGCTTAAGCTCTGCCTCTCTGGCTTCTAGCCCCTTCTGCCCAGGATGGTGGCCCAGCCTCATTAAACCTTAGAGCTTGCTACAGGGCACATTTATTTCAGTGACTTGCCCTACCTAGGACCAGGTACGACACTAAGAACTCTGGGTAACTGCAGAGCAGCAGAAACCAGCGGTGTATCTCCTGTTCTTCCGGGGCCAGGCCTCAGCTCTCCTTTCCGTACCCTTTGTTTCTGTCATCTACAAACAAGAGAGTGTCTCTGTAGTCACAAACTTGGGTTCAGATCCTGGCTCTGTTGTCTCCCTGGGTCTTAATACTCCCTGGGCAATAATAACACCTAGCTCACAGTATTCTTTTGAGGAATATTGATACAAATTATTCTATAAATATTTATCAAGAATTTCCTTGGTGTGAGTTCTTGTGTTGGGCACTAAGAACACGATTTTCCTATCTAGTAGGAGACATGCATTAAACAAATAGTTTCAAGGATAGAGTGAAACTCTAGGGATGCCTAGACCTCTTAGCAATTCTTAATGCATGATGCTAGTACCACTTGGGAATTTGTGAATGCTAGACACCCATGGTGTTTTTCTTTCTTGTCATTATTTCCTAAACAACAATCACTTACATAGGGCTTACATTGTGTTAGGTATTGTAAGTAATTTAGAGATTATTTAAAGTACATGAGAGGCTGTGCATAAGTTCTGTACAAATATTGACCCATTTTATATAAGGACTTGAGCATCTGCCAGTCTGCAGGTAGGTGGGGGTGGGTCCCAGATCCATGGCTCATGGATACCCAGGAACTATTATATTTACAGTGCTTAAATCTGATTAGGGACTAACATCAAGAATAAATTAATACCTCCTCAAAATCAAAGAGGATAAAAAAACCCAGGGAAGTAAATAGAAACAGGGACAGAAGATAAGGAGAGGGAATTCAAAGAGCTGAAACAGATAACAAAATTATAATGAGATGCTCAATATCAGATAAAGCTAGGCTAAAGTGTCACTTAACTACCCCTCAGACTGACAGAAAATTTAAAAAGATGGTGTTATATACTGTATCGCCCTCCTCATCCCCATGTGACTGTGTTTGTAGATAGGACCTTTGAGGAGGAAAGGAAAAAAAAGTTAAATGAGGTCATAAGGTTGGTCCTAATCTGACTGGACTGACATCCTTGTGAGGAAGCTATCCCGGAGAGCTCCTCCTCTGAAATTCCCTGAGAGAGTGTGAGGAAAATGTGGCCATCTACAAGTCAGCAAGAGAAGCCTCCCCAGAACCAACCCTGCCGGCACTCTGAACTTGGACTTGCAGCCTCCAGAACTGGGAGAAAATAAATGTCTGTTGTTTAAACTGCCCGGTCTTGTGGTGGTGCTGGCAGATGGACACATGTGGATGGCCCGCAGTGGTGGGGAACATGGGGAGACAGGAATGACCATTTATTACTTGAGCTAGTGTAGACTAGCATAGCCATTCTAGAGAGGGTTCGGGCAGTTTGAGTTAAATCAGGCTTCTACCTACCATTGGCCCAGCCATCTTCCTTCTGGGTCTGTCCCAGAGCACTTCTCCCATATGTTCTAACAGGGGCAGGGCAAAGATCACAGAGTCGTGCACAAATAGTGGAGAGTCAGAGACAACCTAAGCGTCCATCTCTAGGATAACAGCTAAGTAAGCTGAGGCAGATGACCCTTTTGGACCCCTCTGCACCAGCTAGAGCAAAGTGTCAGCAGCAAGTATGGAGCAAGACAGGCTCCGCCATCTTGCCACTTGGGTCACCTTGATTTGGACCTGGCACCATCTCTGGCTACCATTGCCCCCACCAACATGTCACATGGAAGCAGGACAGTCTGCAGTTCATTTATTGTGGGAAGACTATGGGGAATCAACACATGGGTTCTGTAAGGATTGAGAGAGAAATAGCTCCCCTACCCAGAGAAGTAGGGTCCAGGTAGTGTAGAAGAAATGTAATTCCAGGCTGGCCAAATAACACGATCTATGGAGGGTAGAAGCCTGAGTGTGGAGGAAATTCTGAAAAGGAGATCATCAAGCAGGACTGGATTCTGTGAAAACGAATCCATGTGTCAGTTAACTCACACTTTTTCTGAGCAGCCTGTTAGCCTTTCCCCTCCGTGCCAGCACTGGTGGTGCTGTCCAGAGCCCGCGGTGCTGAAACGTAAGTGGTGCAGACACCCTCCGGCCGGCTGTACCTGCAGAATGCTATCTCACTGTTCCCAGGACTCCCCTGCCTCATCTAGGTTGGCTTTCTTCCTTACCTCAGCACACACAAGAATGTAAGATGTTGCCAGATCATGTAGTTGACCCAAAGATGTAATATTGGCAACTCATTCACATTTATAAAGTGTGTTTTAGACTAAACTAAATGTATCTGTGGGCTAACTATGACATGGGCATCATGAATTTTGGACTTCACTGATAAATGGCAGCCTATATATATTGATGGGAATAAAATGAGATGTTGTAGGTCTTTGAAACTTTCAAAACATGCAGCAAATTCTCTTAGAGTTACACTGTCCAACATGCTCATCACTAACCACATGTGGATATTAGTGCTTTAAAATGTGACTCGTCCAAACTGACGTGGGCTATAAATATATAATATATATAAGAGCCAAGTTTAGTATAAAAATACAATGTAAAGTCTTCATTAATAAATATACTTTGATTGAATATTGAAGTGAGGACATATTGTGTAAAGAAATTACTCAAATAAATACCATCTGCTTTTTCTTTTTAATTATATCTTTGATACAAGAATTAAAAACCAGAATCCCCATTTACTTGGCTATCTTTCCAAAGTGGTGCCCCAATAGAAGAGTGAGGGTATTGGCTGAGCTGCCCCCCTCACACATACTTTGGGTGAGCCTGAGGACTCAAGCTTTGGGAGTTTTAAGGCTCACTCTAATCAAGCTTCCTGCATCATAGTACTGAGCTCCTTGCCAATAGAGTAATGTGATAAGAGGTCAGAAAATTGCTTGCTGGAGGGTCACTTAAGGGAACTGTAGAAATTCTGGCATGCAGCATTGGACAGAACTACTGAGTACTGAGTGAATGAAGAGGTAGATCTTTCAACCCAGCAATGTAGTTGGTGTTTGGATTCCCAATGGGGACTTGAGATGCCAAGATTCAATCTTGACTTTGTTGCTTTGTGTTCTGGCAGACTTGAAAGTTTGGGTGCCTGAGGTTGAGACTACTGGAAGGAGGCAGTTTTTGTTTCAGCTAAACCAGGAATTTTCTGCTTGTAATGCTACAGTACTATAAGAAAAGTAATGTTGTGGGATTTTAAGATACAGGAAAAACCAATGGGTGATACAAAAGGATTTATTCCAAGACAAATTAATGAAGCTAACTCTGGAGGAAATATAAAATTTGAATAGCACCTATTAAAGAAAGTATATTCCTTGCTTGAAAACCTACCTATATGACAACAGCAGGCTCATATACATTTTAACTGCTAAATTATATCAAACAATTAAAGCAGAAAA